CTGGTTTCTCCTAATTTTTTGGATGCAATTATGTCGTACACCATAATTATTGGATTTATATATTGGAAGTTAGTTTTGGGCATTTTAACAAACACTGGACAGAGAGGCACAGACACAATTAATTTAACAACACAATGCACACAAGAACCCCTTTTGATTATGGGATTCTGCTTGCAATATAATTTCATTAATTTAACATTTTGCTTTTACTGGGAATACCCTTTAGTGAGGGTTTTTCCTGGGCAATTCTATGAATCTATTCATATATAAGAAAACAGCAAAGTAATAAACTGATAAAGACGGGCCGCGTCGAAAAGAGCCGGAAAGGGTCGTTATTTGGCAATAAAATGCAATAAATTCTCTATTGGCAAAAAAACAGGGAAAAATGCGAAAAAAGCAAAAAACGCATTTTGCCTTTTCTTCTTAAGGTTTAATTTTAATAGCAAAAAAAGGTTAGTCAGCATGGAATCTTATCGAAGGATATGAGAAGAACGCCTTTGAACAACTTCAGGGGAGTTTTTCTTCTATAGTCTTTTCACAAAACCAAGCCATTTCCTATCAAAACATTCTAAGTTTATATGCTTACTAAAGTTTAGTTTTGGATAAAAAAAAACAATTCTCAGGTCCTGGGTGTATTGCATTCTTTCTAAAATTACTGGAATAATCATAAACAATGGAAGACGCTTTCCTCGTAAAAGTTAAATTTTTACATTTATCCAAGTTTAATGAAGTTTTGTGGCCTTTGCGTCATTGTGCTAAATGTTTACATGATTTTGCAAGCAATGAATCTACCTTAGAGAATTTCAATTCGAAATAAAATAATAAATGCTTACGAAGAGACAAGAAAAAAACCTCGAATTTTAGATTGAGTGCGTCGTTCAATGTACGGAAATGGATTAAGCCAATGCCAATGCCAATTTTAATCTTAATGCTTCAACCACTTATTGATATTATTGAATAAGCCCAATATGGCTTAATCAAACGTTCCTCACATTAGCCGCAATCTACTTTTTCTGTTCTCTTGCGGCTAGAGTGTAATATAACTTATTTAAAAGTCACTATATTAAAAACGTGTCTAAATAATTAAACTAAATACAACAGTTTAACGATTGGTTTGTCATATAAACTCAATCAAACTAAACTGCAATCTCCATTCGCAATTAAAGATGTACAGTTTTTTGTAAAAAAAAACTGAATAATCTCAATGGCCAAATTTCATCCAAATAGTGTCAATATTTGTTTACTTATTAATAAAATATATTTTTTAATTGAACACCCTGTATCTTGCAAACTCTGCATTTCCATATCAATGTTTATAAAAATTTTATTCGTATTTCTTTAACCTCTTTGTGCTCTGAAATGTATACGTACAAATATTGACAATTAATAGATATAAACGTTATTGCTTGTGCAAGAACCTAATTAAAACCAAAAAAGTGAATTAGGGAAAATGGCCGAACTGCCGCGCGTGTGTGTGGAATTCCTCGTATATCTCAATAACAATGGCGGAACACGGCATCCCGCAGCTTTTGTGCGTAATAAAAAAAAGTTTCGAAAAATGTTATGACAAGAATATATTTAAGGAATACCTAAAAGTCTCCGCGGCGTTTTATAGTTAATGACCCGGCCGCCATTATTTATTAGTTCTTTGTGTTTCGAAACGTAGGCTCGGTAAATTTAACCCCGCGGTTTATCTTTTACTTTTTTTTCTGTTTTCACCGTCTTCACCGTTTGGAGTTACGACTCTGAATGGTAATACGACATTAGGTAGTATAAATAAATAAAATAGGATGGATAGGATTTACAAAATCACCCGGTAAACGTTAACGATTTTCATTGGTCGGTTTTCTATCCCCGGCCGTTGTGCACATTTTTCGAAAAATAACAAAAAAAAAAAGGTTTTTGTAAGCATACGTTCATTTTCTAACTATGCCGAGAAAATCAGAAGGCACTATCGAAATCGAATGTCAGCAGCGACTCGCATTTAATATTATTTTCCACTCCCTTCTCCCAGTGTCGTTTCCTACTGATACTAGCTAGTTCCTATATGTCTGGGGTTTGGTAGCAATCAGATGTTTTCGGAAATATTACTCACAGCTTGAAATTTGTCGGTGAATGTATTCGTATTGTTTTGCAAACATGTAGCCACAACCTAATGGTCGTAGAAATAGTATAGTCTGCAACACGTTTGGTAAACTCGTCAAATACCGTTGGTGGTTGTTCTAGGGAAGTGCGAACTCTAGCAGAACTCTTTAGGAATAACCTGTACAAGTCAATCTAAATTAAAGGTTTTAAAAGGAAAACAAAAATTTTCTTTTGATGCAACAATATTCTAAAGGAAATTGCAAGACATAAAGGTGCCGCTGTCGACTATAGATGTGGTAACATATACAGGGTGACCCAACGATAGATATAGTAAGCTTTCGCGATTTTACCGGATTTAGACGCTATATATCACCTATAAATAGATGACTTCCTAAGGCATGTATTATTATACTCTCCAAATACTTATTATTTCCCTATCAACACTTAGCTGTTGGTATTCCCAGCTATTTCGGCTAAGTATCATAAACTCGTTTTTTTAACATTTATATTGAGTTCCAGCGCTTGACTTACACAGGCTACTGTAATACTTTTTATAAAACTTCTGGATTCCTCCTGTGTCGGTTTTTGTGAATCTGTCAGTTTCAGTCAAGCTCTGAAGAAGTCAACAGGCTGATTCGCGAAATGTTAGCTAGTTCGACTCAACAAAAATCGATCCAGAAGTTTTATCAAAAATATTGTTGTAAGTCATTCATGGTGTCGCTTATGATAACTGTGTCGTCAGCATATCTTATGGCATTCAATAGGGTGTCGTTCATCTTAACTTCGGACATCTCATCTTCTAAGGCTTGTTCAAAAATTTTATCCGAATAAAGATTAAACATTGCTTTCGAAAAATCGTTGTGCGAAGCGACTGCTTCGTAATATGCGCTATGCAGTCTACAAGCTCAATACGAAGCTTTGTATTTTAAAGGTTTTAGTCCTAGAGTGACGCATTGTTTTTCTATCGTGCTATTGCGTACCACTATGCAACATTGGCAAAATCGATGTAATTTAATTGTGCATGCACCCTGTATAAAATGTCTGTCTACCGAACTTCAAAGTTACGGCAAATTTTGTACAAGTATGATGGACGAAACCTGAAACTCCTCGATAAGGTTTACGATACTGTTTAAACCAAATTATCCCATCTTATACAGTTTTTGATAATTGAAAACATAGCCCTTGATCTCTCACGTTTCCTGGTCCAGAAATTTTTCCAATACATTAAAATTAAATTTAAAATACGCCGTAATAGTAAATAAGCCCGAGGAATAGGAATTTTCATGTGGATTTTTTCATATATCTCGAGCGCCGTGTGTGCCCGTAAATACAAAAATTGTAGCTCTTTAAATAAATTGGCCATATTTTTTACAATTTTTGATAATTTACTCTAAAAAGGAACAATTTTCAGGGTCTTTTTATATTTTTGTCTGTAATTAAAACACTCAGTATATAATCGAAAAAAATGCATGAAATAAAAGTTATAGTACCGGATCTTCTGCGGTTAAAGAATTTTGCCCATCGGGTTAACAGTTTTCGAGAAAATATTAATTTCTTGGACACAAAATATCCGAAAAAAAAATCAAATTAAAAAAAATACTTGGCGACCAGTTTTAACAGTTTAAATGTGAGTATAAACTTCCACCTCTGTGCTAAATTCGAAGTCGATAGCTGCTAATTTAAGACATTTGTTGACAGATGTTACATTTCTTAAAATAGCACGGAATATCTTGAACACCCTGTACAGTAGGTAAACGCCTTATATGGGTTACATGATCTTGTGAAACTAACTGACAACTGAAGCCTTTATCAAGTAATCATCAATTTGGTAATAAGGGGACCCAATTTTTCAGTTTTTTTGAGAATACAGGTCGCACCCCGCACATTTTCAAAAATTGTAAAGAATGGAGATGAATAGAATTTGATCTCACGGATCTTCTCGTTCACAATTTTTTTCGATCGCATAAAAGTTATTCGAGAATTGATTTTTCTCTATATCCCGATCCGATGGTCTCTGGGGCTTGATCGCTGTCTCGACTGTCAAAAAGGAGCAAATTTTTAAGCGTCTAACTCAAGCCGTTTGCAAGTTATCGTCGAAATGGAGAACGGAGAACGGACAGAAAAAAAATTTTTTTTTCGACGCTGTTTCGTTCCGTACCCATAAGGGTCTCCTAGGACCTACCGTAACGGAGATCTCGAATTTAGTAAGGAGTAGTAATTGATTTTTCTGGGCGCGAAGGAATATAGTCCTTTCAGTATAGATTTTCTATTATTTTTCTATTTCTATTATTGGTGTGTCATCCAGATCTAGAAAAGAACCAAAAACATCATTATGTCCTTCTGAAAAAGGACATTTAATCCGAACGAAGCATCGAGGATTCCAAAGACATTCCTGAATCCTATCTGAGCATCGTCAAGATCAAACTTTTCTTTTTATCATTTTCTGCTTTAATGAATATTTATGCAGCTAAGAGCATTTTAAAAAATCGCCGAAAATCAGTTTTTTACAAATATATATTGGCAAGTTTGCCCATTTCAACATTTTGGTATTTGCTATAGTTTTCGAGATCCACATATTTGTGGACTCGCAGTAGGCCGTGTTTAAAATTTAAATTTAAGTTGAGTATCTTAAAAAATGTAAACCATCAACCTGAATAGCTGTGTAAATTTTCGAATTTCTATTTATTTAGATAGGCAATAAACAGGCGTGTTTTCGTCTTAAGTACGACACACTGTAATGTTTTTCAATTAGTATGGCAAATAAAAATCATTAAAAAAGATACACAAAATCAGGTCGGTATAATTTTTTTGTTGACTAAGATATGCAACACAACTAGTTATATTGTCAGTTCGATAAAGCGCGCGTCATAGGCCCGCTTGGGGCTGTCAAATGTTTCGCCTGTCAAAAAGTCGCGCATCTGATGTAAGAAATGTTTAGCTGGTTGAATAAAGTGCCCCAGTTACACCCCGAAGGCTTCGACAACGTGGTGGAGGGCCTCAAAAGTATATACAAAAACAAACTGTTGCCGCTGGAACAACATTATTTGTTCAACGAATTCCATTCGCCGCCGCTAAATGATGCAGACTTCGATTCGAAACCTCTCATTCTTCTGGTACGTACTCAACTGAATATTTGTTTACGTTAATGTAGATTTAAAACTATACCACGATTTTATAAATAAATAAAGATAATTTGTTGGGAATTTTATCGAGAACATAATATAACATAAAAATAGAACATATTTAATACAAAATAAATAAGAACTAAAAGTTCAGATTTTCACGAAATTATATATTATGACATGACAATAGAATGACGAAATATATAAAATATATAATTTCGTGAAAATATGAACTTTTAGTTCTTATTTATTTTGATAAATGGATTTTCATCGAGTAAAAGCCACCTCAGTTCAATATTTAATACAGTTTTTTATCTTACTTTGGCGGTTTAAGGAAGAATAAAATCCATCCAATCCATTTTGCATTTGAGACTTAAGGAAGAATAAAAGAATTCTATTTATCCTTTACTTATTCATCATTGATTAAAAATAAATGTTGTCTTTTCTATTTAGTACTAAATTTTTAGCTTCTACTCATGTTCGTCCCCTCTTTTTTAAAATCTTTCCCAATGTGCTGTCCCACGTTTCTCTGGGCCTTCTCTTTTCCGTTATCCCTGCATTTTACTCTGCCAAACTCTTTTAACCGGTACAGTGCCGCCCTGTAAAAGGCGCAAGCAGCCAAGTTGTTTCTTTTCTATGAATTCTTCTATGGGTTCCACCTTTAACTCTTTTCTTATATGTGGATTTCTAATTTTGTGCCTGCTGGTTATTCTCTTCACTCTCCTCAAGTATTTCATCTCTGGTGCTCCAATTTTGCTCTTGTCCCTATCTGGCAATATCCAAGATTCGGAGTCATACGTAAGGATTGGTCTGTAAATTGCATTGTAAACTTTCATTTTAGTGTCCTTGGAAATTTCCTTTTTATTTATGAGCCTCTTATTCAATGCATAGTATACCTTATTTGCCTTTTCTATTCTATTATTTAATTTTGTGTCCTGTCCTCCTGTTTCTTCGAACAAAATTCCCAAGTACTCGAAGCTATTAACTTGTTCTAATAGTCTCCCACATATTTTCACCTCTAATTTCTCTTTTTCGTTTGACATTGCCATAACATTGGTTTTATTTATGTTCATCTTCATTCCGTTTTTTGTTATTGTCTGATCCCAATAATCTGGAATTTCCTCCAGTCGGCATCCAACGTCGCTGATCGCTGTTCTGAAATTTTAATTAGATCGTCTATATAAGTTATGAATAGTAAAGGACTCAAACTATCCCCCTGTCTCACTCCTTGTGTTATAAATGCCTTTGATTTCATGTTCTTACTTATTACGCAGTTTCTTGATTCGTTGTATAAACATTTGATGACTCTTATTAGTTTATTGTCAACATTTCTGGCTTGTATGCTTTTCCAGATTTGTATTCGCGGTACTTTATCATACGCTTTTTTCATATCTAAGGATGCCAATTTGGTAATGAAGGTAAAATGTTTAATGTTAAAAGTACAGAGTGGACATATAAGTGAGATAAGCGAAATAAACGCTTAGGGGAAAGGAGATTACTGACGCAAAAGCCTAAAACATTAGTCATTAACTGAAAGTGACTCGCACTCTACTCTATACATGGCTATATACAGTTTGAAGGGGGCAGAGCTCTAGCAGGGGCATCAACATTGGTGAAAGATAACCCGAGTCGCAGTTAAGATTGTTTAGTTGTTTATACATTTTTGTGAATTCTTGAATTTTTCTGCGATAGAAGAAGATAATATTTGATGTCTGGTTTCATGGTCAACTGCTGATAAGTTTATTTAGCCTAGTAAATATTTTTAGCGAGTTTCTCTAATGTATTCTTTGTGCATATGCACGAAATGCCGTAAGCTCCTGGGATCTCAAAAGGAATTTTGTCTTTGGCGGATCGAAGAGAGAAGAGAAATTTGTGGTCTGTGGATTGCCATCATATTAAAAGTCACTACTGATACATTGATTTTCAATTCGTGTCTTTAGACCTTATCGTATAATCAGGCTACTGTACATATGAAGCCTATCAGTCTCGCCTGTTGCCTCTTATATATATTGACCATATTAGGGCTTTATTCCACTCTTCTGGAGGGCCATGTCCTCTCAGGCATTTATTAAAGATGTCGAATAGGATTTCTGACAATTCCATACTAAGAAACAGAATACAGTAATATTAATATGACGAAAATAATAAAACAATATGCTACAAGATCGTTTTTATTTTCCACAAAAAATAAAAATAGAATAAATAAAACATTAATTAATTGCGTTAATAGCGTCAGTTCAGTTAAAATACGTATCCACCCTCTTTCGCGTGATCCACAGCCCTTACCCCATTTTCCTCAATTTGAGGTGTAAATTGCGCGGGCAAAAAAAAATAGGCCTCGATTATTTCATAAAACGCCCCGTCGAGGGTAACGTACCGCATACCTATTAATATAATTCCGCCGTATTTCCGTCCCAAAACCACCACCCCGAGACGTCGTTACTCATCGCCCGTTTTACTAATCCCCTCGGGCATTTTTATTTTGTTTATTTCCACGGCAATTCGCCGCGTAACGCGTTCAATTTTCAGGTGGGACAATATTCGACGGGAAAAACGACTTTCATACGCTACCTCCTCGAGCGGGACTTTCCGGGAATGAGGATTGGCCCGGAACCGACCACCGACAAATTTATTGCGGTCATGTACGGCGAGAACGAGGTAAGATGGTCCGATCGGTTTATCTTGGCATGCGCGTAAACAAGCGTCATCGTCGATATCGTGGGCTTCGCAGACTTTGGAACCGTAAAAAATGAAGTAAAATGCATTTCAGTAACTCGTTGGTGGACGGGGCAAGATCGAGGCGCGTAGAGCGACCAGATTTTTATATAAAAAAGAAACCGCTTCGGGTTTTTTTGTCCTAGAGGGACGCACTGTTTTTCTATTGCGCTCCTGCGGACCACTATGGAACTTTCACACAATCGATGTAATTTAATTGTGTATGCACCATGTATAATGTGTCTTTCAAATCTCGTCGAACTTGAAAGTTACGGTAAGCTTTGGAAATTTGTACTGGTAATATTTTTTCAAATATTTCGAGCGGCCTGTAAAATTGACGAAACCTAAGACTCTCTGTCGACACAGTTTACGATACTGTTCAAATCAAATTATCACATCTTTAGCTATTTTTTATTTATCCCCAATCATTTACCCACAAAAACGCAAATATTTAGGATGTTTTAGATTTTTTGCCCTGTATATAATTCAAACAATGTTCGAAATAAAGGTGATAGCCCGGGATCTCCCACGTTCCTTGGTATATGATTTTTTTCAATAGAGTCAGTGGTTTTCAAGAAAATACTGTTTTTTGAAAACATGCAGTACGTGCGTGGTAATAGTGAATGACGTCATCGCGATTAGACTGGGTCCGAAGAATAGTGATTTTCATATGAATTTTTTCAAATAACTCGAGTAACGTATGCGATAGACGAAAACCGTAAATACAAAAATTGTAGCTCTTGATGCGGCCTATTTGAATTTTGCCGATCGGTTTTCGGGATATGAATTTTTTTAAACAGCCGAAAATTTTTTCAAAAATTTTTAAAAAATATTTGGCGATGCCGGATTGCACCTAATTTTTATAATTTGCATGCAGGGGCGGACTCCTACCAACGTGCCAAATTTGAAGTCTATAGCTGCAAATTCCGGACATCTTTCAGCATACGACGTTATGTCTCTAACACCCTGTACAATATGCAAAGTTTTAACTCTCTCTATGGGCCAAACTGTCATGTAGAAGAAACTGCGGACTACAGTCAATTTTCCTTTCAAAAAATTGTAAAGAATAAATGTTTATAGACGTCAATATTCTACGTCTTTCGTTCAAGGATTTTTTCGGTCCGATGAACGATTTTCGAGAAATAGTCACTTTTTGGTTTTTGAAAAAAAAATGGTTTTGGAATTTTAAAAAATACCTCCCATTAACCGATCCATCTTAATTTCAATTAGTCCCGTCACGGGCCTAAGCTCTGTACTTTTGAAGAATTTCAAATCAATACATTTTGGGACACTTATCGTGTTTCATAAAAGAGTCGAAAATCGAAAAAAAAAAGATGGACACCAAGGTCCGGCCGCGTCCATTTTTACATATATTATGCGGATCATGGCGGTTTCCGTAGAACCAACCATTACCGAGAACTGGAGTTTAGTGAGGAGCGCGTATACTTTCGAAAATAATCGATTTTATCGATTTTTCGAAAGTTACAAGCTAATTTTATAATATGAAATAATTTGGTTAGATCATAATTATTTTTGGAGAATTTTTCTTATAAGTTTCCTAAGTGATCAAAGAAAAATTAAACAATGGCGTTAGGCGTTAGCTTTATTGATAGAAATGTAGGGCATGGACTTACATTTTTTGCTGTGGAGCCATCTAAAGTCTTTGGGTAACGTTAGTTCCGTGGAAAATGTAAATTACCTAAGAAACTCAATTATTGGCAGAGTTCGACATTTCAAGATTGGATTCCTGCATCCCAGCTGGAAGTGGTCAATTTGAACACTTTTCGTTAATTTTTAAGCTATTTTAGTAAGGTCGTTTGCAAATATTATTAGAATGTTGAAAAATATTGTTATGATAAATGATTAAACGAAAAATGCAAGAGTCGTTTAAACGCTCTATCTCGGTATCGAAATTAAACTAAAATCAATGGCGTACATTTTTATCAATAAATTTTGCAAAGTGGATCTTAACGACATTTTAATTTGTGTTTAATTAGGGCCAAATCAGCCACTCATCATTAGAAACTACCATATATTTTGAAAGCAATGCATTTCCGGACCTACGTTTATGCGAATTTTTTTCAAAAAATGATGTGTAAAAATTGTAAAAATTTTAAAGGGTGAATCTTAGATTAATTTTAATAGAGTGCGACACAAAAAAATTATTGTTAATTTAATTCAGGAACAACACATCAAAACAACAAATAAAATAGTTTTTTTTGTGCGGCCGGTATCCCAAGAACAAAGCCGTCGCGGGCCCATGTTCGTATGAACTTTTTATCTTTCAACTAGTTAGTTAGAGATTCATCCATTAAGGTTTGCACAACTACATAATTAGCATCTTGTACATATATCGCGTTAAAAAGCTCTAAGTCTTCGATTTCTAATCTTTCTGTCGCACCCACATATCTTCCTGCAGATCTTTGCCTTCAATCGTATTGTCACCTCAACCGTGTCGATGCTTCTAATGTAATTCTCATATTATTTAAGAATATCTCATCCTTCATATTCTGCAAGAGAAGCTCCAGAGTCTAATAGCCCTAAGAATTTGAGTCCAGTCAACTCCGAGATATGGCCGTTTATTATCTGTTGCATGGTTCTAGGCCGGCTGCGTGCAAGGGTAAAGGTCCGTTGCCTACATTACAGTGAGGGCAAGAACTTTTTGTAAAGCTTTCCTTCCAGCAGTCATACAACATCAAGTGGCAACAGACTCGTTGTAATGAAAGCACAAAAACTCTTTGACGCCACCCTGGATCGAGTTGCCTCATGGGCACCCAATTCTTCTTCTAACCCTATATAAGCTTAGTATGACTCCAGGGAATATTTTCTTTCAGATGGAGTGGTGTACTCCGATGAAGGTGAACTGTGCTCTATCCTCCGACACAGATAATTTAATTCCGTTATATCATTTATTTCGAGTTCGCGTAGTTGAGGCTTGTAAATAGGAGCAATATTACGCTCGCCTCTATTGTAGGGCAGTACAGTCTCATTATACCTTCTTTGCGATTTGATGGCGTGACATTGTTTATGTTACTATGCTTTTAAAAGTTTCAAGTTACAAGTTCTTCTTTTGTTATTTGCATGTATGCTTTTATCCTATAGTATATTGCTTAGTATGGAGATTGCTCTTCTGCCTTGAACGTTTTTCCCCGTCAATGCTTTGTCGAGCAATCCGTTTTTGGAAACTCGTTCCCAGACATTTTTATCCACTGCAATTGTTAACAATATGTCCCGTTACCAGCCGTTGATCTTGGTGTTATCCTCTATGCGCATTGGCCTTGTCGATGTTGGCTTCCAAACAATAACAATAAGGCAGCAAGTTTGATTTATAAACAACCGACACAGGACGAATCAAGAAGATTTGTAAACAGTCATCTGTGATGTCTTTAAAAAATATTTGGTAATCGTGAATCTTGTTAAGCAAATGCCATAATATACAGATTTAGTTCATTAAATTATCAACAAAAATAGAGAATCTAAGTAAACCCTCGTCAACCAGCAAATGAGTGCCTTGTAATCGAGGGTTAGTGCCTAACTATTGCTGGTCTAGGTTAAAATTTGTGAAGTGCTTGCCAAGATAAATTGATCATATTACGTTACGTTTCCTTCATTTGTGTTCTTCGCCGACAAGAGCGTAGCGTCGGCTTTTTTTGGACGAACTTTGTGCCAACTAACCTCAAATATTTACGAGTTAAGGGGGTGATACCAGGAAACGCGCTCGTCGTCGACCCCAAGAAGCAATTTCGGCCACTGTCCACTTTCGGGAATGCCTTTCTGAACAGATTCCAGTGCTCGCTGCTTAAATCTCCTGTCCTCAAAGGGATGTCTGTGATAGACACCCCCGGCATACTCGCAGGTAAATTTTACAAAGTGTTTTTTAAGCGTGAGTGGAAATTCAGTAAAATTTCCTAAAATCAAGCAACGTGGCATCTCCGCAATCTACGTATTAATTATTGGCTGATTGTGACTATGCTCTATTTCATAATGATTCTCGGGACTTGAAAACATAGTGGTTATTGTCAAGGGTTCTGGGAGTGGTAAGTAGACGGACAGGTAGTTAACCTATCTGTGCCTCAGTATTTCAAGTTAGAATTATAGTTACTTTCCGGCAGTTGGTGGTAGAGTATGGTCTTGAAATTGGCTGGTGTTTCCGAATTTGTTGCTGAGAAACGGATTAATGAAACTGTGGTTTCTAAAAGTGACAGAATTATTATTCTCAACATTCGGAGTTTGAAATGTGAACAGAAGAAAAGAAACCGAGATACATGAGAAAGAAAATGCTGCTATCAGAGGAATAATATATTCGTTTTACTTAAAAAGATGAACACTATAATGTCTGAAATGAAAAAGGGCAATTTTATTCCGTCCATAGGTAAGCAGAAATCATGAATCAGAACCATAGAAAGAAATGAATTTTTGTTACGAAAAAACTTACTTCTAGCAAATGCTAGATCTCATTCCTCCTGGATCTGTCGTAGTCACGGTAATGTCATCTACCGCTCACGAGAATCCACTCATGTCTTTTTTGAAAAAAAGTACATCTTGCAGTAGCTTACCTTAATTTATAATCAATTTCATAAAGATATGCTGAAAATAAAGTACCGCGGATTGTAAATTTAAGTGTTGGACATTTGTTGTTGATGAAAGCGCCTCCTAACCTAATATAACAGTGCTTCGCGTTCCGCTCTATCACTTTGAATTAAAACTCATACAATTGGTATTGGCGCAAGTAAGAAGGGGGAGATGGGAAGATGATAGTATGCTAGAAAACATTGTAGAGCCCCTTAGTATTTCTCTGGACTCCAACGACTAGACTATAGTTGTACTGTATATTTGTTATAATGTATGTTTGTATATTTATTACAATTAATCTATTTTTAATGTTATACTTATTTACTCGATCTTAGAATAATTATATATCAATTATCTGTCCATCTAACGGCTAAAATATAGTATTTATTAAAAATTGGTTCTTGGATTTCAGGAAAAATGCTGGCATAATATTTTCTTGGACATTTTTTACAGTAAATGGAAGTTTTTTTTTTAATGGAACCCAATTTCACTCTTTTCATGAGCATAAGAATTGAAAGCAGACATTTAATTTTAAAATGAAACAGGTAAGTAGCTAGTGCAGGTAAAGTCGTCCTTTTTCTTAAGGTGCCTTATCCATTTAATGGAAATTGGCCAATTCTTCATGGTCCTGTGCAGCTCTAAAGAGTGAGTGAGCATCGAGACCGGTCCAGTCTGTAATATTTATAAGCCATGGATGCTTTTTCTTTCCTTCCATGACTAACTTTCGGAATTCGTACTCCCTCAATGTTTGATGTATGCTCAGTCGTCTTTTGAATAACCACATTTGAAATTCTTCAAGTCGGTTTATAGTATTACCCCTCTACGCTGCACAATAACGTAACACTTCACGAAACGATAACGCAATTGCAACCTAAGGATCCGGTTCGATCTTGCTTCGAATCTCCGTATTTAAACAAGACGCGGCTTCATCACTAAACGGTAGTTGACAATAAAAAATGGATTTAAGCTGAACATCTTCATCATAGTTACACAAATCTATGGTTCATGGTAGCAATCACTTTCATACAGCTCCTGTATTATTGAAATCTTGTACGGATTTGTGCCATATTTTAGTTGTTCATTGTATTTGTTGCTCTAATAAACCACCTGTAGGAACACAGCTGTGACATTAGTGTCATTCACCCAACTTGTCTTTCTATTGTGTGCAAATTGATTCTAATTAGAAATGATGTGTATGCCTTAAAAGCAGAAATACGGAATTTTTAAAAACTCTCAGCGCTATTAATCTGAACTTTGTAATATAACCTATAAGTTGTCCACACTGTCTAAGTATCCTTGTCATTGCTAATTTACATTTTATCACTCTTCCACATTAAGAAACTAGGTATCCTAAACAGGTTACTGTGATACTAGTCCCTCGGCGTTGCCAGATCGTGCACGATTTTCCTAAAGTCCCGAAAAGCAAACTGTATTTTCTTTTTGATAGGATCGATAGCACTCGGGTTTAAACTTGTGTCGCGCCGTATCGGTTGGGCTTTAACTTTATGCAAATTGCGAAGCTCCAACCCTTTCGGGGAAACGTTGCACCGCCCGAGGGTCAAATCCCGCTTGCAATCGTAAACTGCTGAATATTTAAGGACAATTTCGTGTAATTGAAGATGTAATCTATACCGGCGGCCTCAGCGGTCGTAAGATGTAGTTCGATATGTAAATGTTCCGCTACTTAGTAATTTCCTCCAAAGGGAACCGAAGATGGAATTATGCAAAAGGCCCGACGATCGGGTTTGGACTTCATCGAAAAGTCCCGGGTCTCGGGGACAAAGATGGTTGTATCATTATTATTTGTCAGGGGAATGGAATTATGTCGTGTGCGTTTAGAAGACTTAGTAACAAAACCTTTAAAATATGGTGTATTACAAAGATAAAGGTCTAGAAATCTATTTATTTTATTTGTTATTTGATAATTAAATAATCTATAAAAATAAAAATTTATCAAGCCATGTAAGTTAGAATGATTCAAAAATACTAATTTCTACTAGATGATTAGTAATGGTATAATTTTTTGTGGGTGCTTTATAGAAATTTATAGATTTTTTTTTTTAGTACAAAGAAGTGTAATTGTGAATCTAAACTTTATATGTACATACCGGGACGGATTTATAGAATTTAAGACTATGCATTGTTTATTTTTGAATTCATATTATTTTCGAACTTGCGCACAAAGTTCACAAAACATGTGGGAGAAACTACTAAACAAATTGCGCTTAAATTGCCATTAAATCAATAGTTGACTAAACTTGAACGCTGTAGTGTTGGATACTTTTTAAATATGTAGTGCTTTTTAGAACTTTATTTATTTATTTATTTATTTATAGATTTATATTATTAATTGGAATTTATTTTTTGAGCAATCATTGTTTAGCGATACAATATTTCGCCCTACCATCGTTTGCTATAATATTTCTTCTAATTTAAGCATTGAAATTAACACAAACCTAACCTAAAAATATTGATTATTTGAAAATTATATAATTGGCCGCAGGTCTAATTTTTCACAGCGGTTGCTGTTAACTTTCTGCACTTTTAATTGTGTATAAATTAGAAAGTATTTAGTATTTACAAATATTCTGGAATCCTCCTGGATCATTTGGCGGGAAAGTAGCAAAAATTTGTAAATTTGGAATTTAGGTGTAGGCAATCGGGTTAAATAATTTCAACATGGCGGCATATCCGGATATACTGGAAGTGGGTGTCACGTTTCTTATTTTAAATGGAACACCCTATATATTATTGCTTTTCTCGATTCCCCCGAAAATTTTTCAGATTTCAGATGAAATTGCGATTCAACATTGCATGTCAAAAATAACGGTTTCCTACTCCCATCTGTAAAATACCTAATTACACACCGATCTAACATGCGGGAAGCGTCACTTTAGGGAACACCACAAATTTTCGAATGTTCCGAAAATCCCGAACGCCGTTCGGTACCGTTTCGGAAAGTCTCGGGGAGTCTCGTCTCGCGAGGGATCTCGATGTAGCAGACGGTCAAATGGTATACTTTGTAATTCGACAGTGGATACTCGATATGTACAAACTGAATACGAATTAGGGTGCTAAATCCGCACAGGACACAAGAAAAATATATGTTAATTTTATCGAAGGGTTCTGCAACCCGCCTTCAAAAGAATATTTTTTATTAACCCGTGAGTATTTTTTGAATATTTTGTAGTCATAATCACACCCTACTTAGTACAGCCACCGGCTAAGGTAAAAGTTGAGGTTTTTCGAATAAAATTTATGAATGACAACGTCCAAAACAAAATTCATTTTTTAGCAAAATAGGTAAGGTTTACACCTGAAAATGGGAATAAAACTGATTATAAGCTGACTGAATTTACTGTGCAATTTGTCCTAGCCAGTTGGGAGTGAGCCTTGGGGTAACACACATTTATGGGCCCGTACCTCTAGCCTACTTTACAAATAAGATGGGGCATTTCCCATAGCCACATAAAAATCACATAAAAATGTACTTATGGTTATACAAAAATACTTTACATCTACACCATCGTGCACCTGGCTTCTAGAAATGTCCCTAATGACCCCACCAAATCTTTTGTCATTGCATTGCATTGGTGTAGAAGAAAATATTTCCCAGAAAAAAAGTCCAACAAATTGGTTAATAGCCTTTCATACAGGGCCTTGCGCCCAAAATGGTTCATGCCAAGCTTTTGTGTCAAACTGTATAACCAAACTAATATCCAGGTCACTCGCTTACTCCCAGATTTCTAGTCAAGTATTTCAGTTCTACTGGTACATTCGATTGCCTCGACCTCTGCATACAGGTACATACTGAGTTGAAGGAAGTAAGTCACCTTTGACAATTCTAAAATTACATACAGTGTAATGTACTACACATTTCTACAAATATTTTTATTGCTAATAATTTCTTTACCTTGTCGAAAGTCTATTGCATATATTCTTTTGGTGTCCTTTCTTACACATACTTGCAACTCATGTCTTGGATTTGGTCCTCCAACTGTTCATGATTATGTTATTCCTTCCTTAAGAAGCCTTTTTTATGAGCTACCTCACCATACCTCGTTTTTACTTCGTTCCGGTGCACCTTCTGCATGAATAATACATAAAGTGGTCGTGAAAAACTATTTCTTAAGGAGTTATGTTCCTGTTTTGCATTACCCTATCAATTTACTACCCACAATTAACTGAATTCCTGTTTAAAAAAGTAATAAAATGTTAACTTAGTAAGATAAATCATTTTAAATAAGTTTCAAACTTGACATCCCTATAAAAATCGCGTCACGTCTTATCACTTTTATTGGTTGGCCGATCGGCTGGTACAAACCACCCCCGCCCTAACCCGAACGCCGTTCGGGATTTTCCCATTTGAACATTCGTTTATTTGCTACCATCTCTCACTTTACCACATCAGTTTCGTTTCCCACTGATCCGACTCACTTCGGACATTTCCGGGATTTTACCGCACGGGTTTGGAAGCAATCGGATGTTTTCGGAGATATTTCCCACCCTTTGAATTTTGACGTTTGTCAATTCTGACGGTCATGTCAGTGAATGTATTCGTGTTGTTTTGCAAAAATAGAGCCAGTCACAGAAAAAGTATAGTATGCAACACGTTCGGTAAACTTTTTAAATCACTCGTTTAATAAACACTCGCTCCGCTCGTGTCAAATAAACTCGTGAGTCAAATGCCGTTTACCGCAATTGTTGCATAATATACTATTGAAGAGCAAAGAATATTTCTAAATTTTTCTAAATTTAGATAGTAATTTCAACTACTAATACTAATAATACAGGATGTTGAGAAAAATAGCATTTAAAATGAAATTTATAAAAACTGGCAAAACAGATTGTTTTCACATGGAAACCACGTATTTTTATAATCCTATCTAATTTTTTGAGATTAGAGATGAAATTGCGATTTAAATTGCGTGTCGAAAATAACAGTTGCAGACCGAACAATATTTGTAAATTTGTATAAATTTAGATAGTAATCTGAATTATTAATAATAGTACAAAATTTAGAGAACAAGTTTACTTAATTTTTTTTCCGATAACACATTGACAAAATTTGTGGCGGGACTTCCTGTATATCCGCATACAATACCCCTTATTGTTAGGAAGTAGATTGTAAATCTAGTTTTTTAGGGGAGAAACAGCGCATAGATAGGGGATATGACTTCACCGGCGTTCTGGAATGGTTTGCGGAGAGGGTGGATAGAATTATCTTATTATTCGACGCGCACAAACTGGACATTTCTGACGAGTTTAGGAGATCCATCGAGGCTGTGCGTGGACACGACGACAAAATTAGGATTATCCTCAACAAGGTGGATATATCCACGGCTACCCACATTGAACGAAATGGTGTATGGAATGTTTCTAGGCAGACATGGTCGACCACCAGCAATTGATGAGGGTGTACGGCGCACTCATGTGGTCTTTGGGGAAGGTGCTGCAGACTCCTGAAGTGGTGCGCGTTTTTATTGGCTCCTTTTGGGATCAACCGTTGAGGTATTATATTAAACAAATGCACCATGACATCTAATTTTTAGCTTAAACTTTCTAAATGTGGTTCCAATGTCTGTGGGGAAATATTTGTTTGGTTTTTAAATATTAATATTAATCCATCTCCTAAAGATATCCTACATATATCCTCATCACAAGTATCGAATAATTTTAAAAACTCGAAAAAAGTTCTGACCTAAGGATATTTTTTATGATACGTCTACGACCTTCTTTAAGTGTGAAAATTCACCTTCAGTTATAAATATGTAGTTTTCTTGTTTAGGAAAAAAACAGACAACAAAGGAATAAGAGAAAATTTTTATTTCTACTATTTAATTTAAAATGAATAACTTAACGAAAGAAGAGTATGGTATAATATATTGTGCTGTATATATATTGTATAATATTTTACAAGCCCAAAGCGTGACCTCAATTGGAGCGGGGCGATTGCAGCAATATGTTGCTGAAGTTATGAGCATCGACGAGATTACCATTTCTAGACTGTTAAGATTTAGATAAGCTGGAAAATAAAATAGAAGATCAGTTCCAGCACGTCCCAAGATCATGTTACAGCCAGACACCTGCAAAATGTTCTCTCCAGAGTAATGTTCAGATATCTATAAATTCGGTTAAAAACCTATCAAGAAAATTTAAAATAAGAGCCAGAATGTTGGTACTGCTTCCTTGTTAACAAGGGCACACCGTGTTGCACGTATAAGACTTGAGAGAGAACATGGATTAAAAACTAAGTGGAACATGTTTGAGACTAACTAGGAATGGACATACCTGCTCTAGGCAACCTTGATGAGCTGGAAAATGCATTAGGACAAGTACATAAGAGCTTTGAGAAGAAGAGTGCCACGGAGAATGAGAGATGTCATTAGATTCGGACGTGGCAATACCAGAAACTGAATTGCTAAAACTATGTTTGCAATTTGTTATTTTATTTTAATTTTTTTATTTTTTTATGTTTATGATTATTTGTTTTTTTCCTTTTAATCAAATCAACCATTGTTAAATATTCCTAAGTTCAATCCCTTCTCAATTTTAAAAAGGTTTAAGAAAAACTTTTAGGCATACTCTATTTATGCAAAACTTTTTGCGACAAGTGTATATTTTGTCGAGACAACCAACCAACTCTGTTACTCGAACGTATTATTATCATACGTCATTCAATTACCTGTATCCCTTAACAAAATAACGCAGCTGCATCATACGTAATACGGTTAATGTGAATTAATTAAATTGCCAGAGCAAACACCATTTGATTAAGAGCCGTTTAATTAAACGATACTTTGAGTGGATGCTGGGAATCGATCATCATCAGGGCTCCGGTAGAGCATCGCCATTAAACCGACTATTTGCCTCGCAGGCCATAAATAATGGCCCGCATTTACCTGAGACAACTTGGACACTAAATCTGGGTTTGGGTGGGTGCGGGAGGGGGAAGGGGGAGTTAACTCTCGACGTGATTCACCGTTAAATAAAGCGGAAGCGATATGACGTTTTCTTGTAGCTACGATATGAATCGGAAACTGTTCGAGGACGAGACTCAAGACTTATTCAGGGACTTTCAAAGTCTGCCGAAAAACTCGGCATTGAGGAAACTGAACGATCTAATTAAACGGGCGAGGATGGCCAAGGTCCACGCCCTGATCATTTGCGAGCTAAGGGGTCAAATGCCGCTGTTTGGGAAGGACGGCAAGAAGAAGGAGCTGATAAAGAATTTGGACCAGGTCTACGAGAAAATTCGCAAAGAGCATCAGATATCGGCAGGCGATTTTCCCGACAAAACGAAGATGCAAGACCTCTTGAACCAATATGATTTCGGCAAGTTTCACTCTCACAAAATCAAATTGCTGGACGACGTGGACAACATGTTGTCCGATGACATTGCCAAACTCATGGCAATGATTCCGCACGACTGTAGCCCGTCGACTTTGGTTGAGGTTAGTAGCGGAGGAAACATAAAAAATAGGTCACTTAAATTACATCATTCGTCCGAGATATTAGAATGTCAAATTTTTTTATTTATTTTTTTTCATATTTAAGTCCAATACGAGAAATTTTCTGAGCATATTGTACATATTTTAGAGGTTTCTTGGAACAAACGAACAAATTAAATATTTTGAATGCTAACCCAAATTAGGTACGAAAAATGAAGTGTAAAACAACAACAACGTCTTGTCTGGTGCAATGTTGGCATTAATTCTTTAATTAATCAATTGACTAATTATTTAGGAATAATCAGTGAAATAACCAAATATGCAGTCCTCCAACAAGTTAAAAATAAAGTTATTTACTTCTATTAATCATATTAAAAACAATTAGTTATTTAATTCACCGCACCAAATGGACACAAGGAAATGGAGAATTATTAGTAAATTGTATTAATAAATAATAATTTGCATTAGCATAGCTTAACAATACTAAAATTAATAAGGTAATAAATTCATTATTTATTAATTATTTACAGCACACGAAATATTGGGGAACATATTTTCTAAAAAAATGTGTTAGTTTGTATTCGTATAAATTAATTATTTAAAAATTATTTAATTTTACTAATGTTTTTTAATTAATTAATCATATGGAGGACCAGTCACTAAGAATTTATTTATTATTTATATATTTATATTAAAAAAAAACAAATATAGCAATGACCCCAGAGAAGATATTCTTAATCAATATTTTGATTAAGGAAATAATAATTTATATTAGCGTGAATTAATTACCCTAATATTAATTACCTTTATAATTAATTAATTTAATTAATCGCAGCGAATTGAAGCAAGACAACGGTTTATGTTAGCATCAATTATTTAGGCGAATATTAATTAATATTAACATGGGACATATGATTAATCATAATGAATTGTCACAAGGTTAATGTTGATATCAATTATTTAGAAGAATATTTAGTAATTACATTAATATTTATTTAATAATTAATAGGTGAAGAATTGACACAAGGTGATCTGGAGTAGACGGATTGTTATTTACTTTTACTAATTAAAAATACAACTATAATTAAGTAAATTAAAATTGATTATTGATAGTAGAGAATTGAAGTAAGTCAATGATTTATGTTAGCATCAATTATGTAGACGGACATTACTTAATTATGTTTTGTATTTGTTTTATAAATGGTCTTATAAAATCATACAAGTTAATTAATTAATGTTGATTATTTAATTAATCGGAAAGAATTGACTGAAGACAATGATATATGTCAGCATTATTATTATTATTAATTAATTATATTTAAATAAATTTCATAGGAAACCGTATATAATTGACAAGATAATAAAATAACAGGTGTATTATTATTCAGTTCTATTGATTAAAATTAAGGATTTATTATAGCATGGATTAAGTTTACTAATATTAATTGTTATCTAATATAGGCTACTTAATTAATTGTTGTGAAATGGCAAAAGACAATGTATTAAATTGGTAACAATTAATTAGGCTAATATTAACTAAGCATATTCATCTTATATTAATTGACACGAGGCAATCGCGAATATAGGTAAGGGGCGGTGCATTCGAAAACGTCGAGGACAAGATCACCCCCTTCGGTTACAAGAGCGGCGAGGGGTGCAACGCGGGTATCGGGGAACCGGAGTGGATCGTGAACAAGGAACGGGCGTCCTACGATGCCCTGTTCGACTCCCTCAATCCGGTCGACGGGAAACTGTCAGGAGCGACCGTGAAGGTAATGCGGGAGTTTTGCTGAAGGCCACTCGCAAGGTCGTCGAGCTTCGCTTCTTTTAAACGCCGCGATTGAAAGTCAAACTAAAAGTTTTTTTCATAACGTAAGAGTCTTTGGCTTCCTTCGAGTTGGTCCGTAATCAGGATTATGAAATCGGCAATTTTGATATATATAGGAGGAGTTTGTCAAATCGAAACTTCCCAACGTGGTACTGGCGAAAATTTGGAAACTGGCCGACGTGGACCGCGACGGGTTCCTGGACAAGGACGAGTTCGCTTTGGCGATGCATTTGCTAGGCGTCAAACTAAACGGGGACGACATCCCTTCCCAGCTGCCCGACCATCTGGTGCCGCCAAAGAAAAAAGACAAAGTATACACTCTTTGCTTTAGGCCTTGAATCGTCTATCCAATAAAGGCGTCACGAAATGGCTAACACATTTTGTTTTTAGTTGCGCTAGTGTCGGCTGTCGGTCATAACTCGCATCGATCGAAGTGTAAGTATTGCTTGAACGTTAACGTTACAACATTATAAGGATATATTAAATATTAAATATTTTATTCCAGCTTTTGAACCATCATTATTACCCTCAACGCTACTTGAAGAATTTAAAAAGTTTATGGGCAATTTGGGTCAATCTTTTAGGACAACAGTTACTTAAAAACTGCTAAGGCGATCGTTATTTGTAAGACGTTGGTCCCTCGCGATTTGATGAAGTCAATATTTGAGAACAGTTTGTCTTTCGATCCTTGTTTTACAAAAGTTAACTAATTCTTGAAATTGATCGTTGTTACTTGCAGAAGTTTGACTAATTTCGAGCCAACAAAACTGCGGTATGATGTTTTTTTTTGGCATATCGATCCTTGAAAATAATTTTGGTTGGTTACTTGTGAGATACAGTTGTTACCACAGAAATTTTGTTATATATGACTTTTTAGGAAAACGGTTGCTTGAGCACTGTTGATCTTTTGACCTTTTAAGTTCTCTCTATTTGAAGGATGTTGGTTTCGCTTTTAGACCATCGCTTTTCGCAAGCTTTGTTTATTCGTTGTGGGAAATGTTGATCATAAATCAAAAATGAAAATCAAATCATTATTTCATGAAACATTATCCTTTGAGACATGTTTTTTTTTACTTTTTTTCTATTTTTACATAAAAGATGTCGGTCTAGCTTTTAGATCGCCGGTTTTTGGGAGACTTTAGTGTTTCGGGATTTGAGGAGTTATTCTTTGAGAGATATCTTTCTGTCCTTAAGGTCATGATTACTTAAGAAATGTTTCGCAATGTTACGAAATATCAAAATTTCTGAATTTTAAGCTGTTGGCATTAGGGGATGTTGTTTTTTAGGCGTTCCTTAGTCTTTCGAGACTTGTGTTACCGTTAGTTAACATTTTGCAATGTTCGCCGACCTTTTAGATTAGAATAGAATTTTAAAGAATATGTTTGTACAATTTGAAGTACATTATAGCAAGTCAAAAAAATAAGAAAGAAATATCGAGAAATACAAAACAAAGAACACAAACAGCAAAAAACTATCACATTAAAAATCTTTCAGAAAAATTTGATGAACAGGTATTTTAAAATATTCAGATTACTGCCAACGTTACATATTAAAATCAGACCTTAATATTTCTTTTTTACTTCATTCTGTAAGATACCTAATTATACACTAATCCGTGAGTTCTTATTTTTAACACACTGTTTAAATTTTGACGTTTGTCAATTCCGACGATCATGTCGGTGAATATATTCATGTTGTTTTACAAAAATGTACTCAAAAACTAACGGTCGTAGAAAAAGTATAGTATAAAACAAGTTTAGACCAACTGAAACTGTCGTCCCTCATAGTTGAAACAGTCAAGTGAAGCATTTTCTAGCCTTTTTCGCCAGACGAAGGTTGTGTTATCGGAGAATTTCGCTGTTGGTGTTGAAGCCATATAATGGCATAAGATCATTCGTAAAGACAATGAACAAATAGACCTTACCCCAGAGAGAGCACCATTATTTTTAACACGCTGCGGAAATAGAGCTGGAATTCAGTTAGTTTTAAAATGTATTGTTTTGTTCAAAACATTTTTTCAAATCGTCTTTTAATATCGTCTTTTTAGGTTAGTTAGATTTTTCACATTTTTATGCAGTGACCCGACCCTGCTGATTTTAAAACAGTTAGGGAATATTCTCGTTTCAAAGGCTGATTTATAATCACTGTTAAAGGTTCTAGAATTATATCAAGGGTATTTTGAAGTGACTTGTAATTTACGCTGTAACAGTCCATGAGTCCTGAGACTTATTCTTTAAACACTGGATGCAAAAACAAATGTTTTTGTGTCTAATGGCACATTGGCCACAGAAAAAGTGTTCTCACTACTCAAACGATATGGGTCCACATTTTAGGCCATGGTTATTTAGAAGACTTTGTACATTCGGGCTTTCAGAAGTCGGTGTGAGATAAACATTCCTCTTTCGATCCCTAAAGTAATCGTTATTTGAAAAATGTTGGACATAAATTGAAACTGTACGTCATTATTTCAAAAAACTTTATCCTTTCAGATTTTTTTTGTCATCGTTATTTTTTAAAGATGTTTAGTGTTTAGATCGTCGTTATAGTTAGAGTTTCAGCAGTCGTTAGATTTTCGGTCTTCACATGTTGTTTTGGCTGCCATTTAGGTCACCGTTCCTTGAAAATAGTCGTCGTTCTGAAGTTTCCCGATCTCTCCGATCAGTAAAACTGAGCACAACGGTTGCTTCTTCTTTTTTAGGTCGCAGTTACTATTGGCATTTTAATTTGTCCTTACTTGAAATATATTGATCTTGTTTCAACTTTTGGACTATTTAGTCGCTTAAAACGAACTTTCACGTCGTCGTAACAAAAGAGATTAACACAATTTGGCTGGCACCGCGCAGAGAAAAACAAATCGCCATAATTTATGGTTACATTTAATAATTCCTGGTAGGCCCGACGTTGACCAATAAACGGGGCCGACCAAAAACGAGACTATAAAACAAGGCCTCCGATTCGGCAATCAAAAAAATACACGTATAGCCGCGCAATAAAGATTACGACCCATTATTCCTCGCGTATACACAACAAAAACGCGCGTTTACTGCGGCCGGGATGTTAATCCGCGATGAAAATATTATTAGTGGACATCATAAAGGAAGCTTAAAAATATCAATACGGAGGTTATTTAGTGGGTTTCGTGGAAAAACGCAGGTGCATTTATCGGGCTTGTTTCTGTGTGCATAAAAGAATTGACAGAGATTTATAGCCGTTTGAGGACGTCCGTTGGGCCTTTTGAACAATCCGAACGTCCGCCACTCGTATATAGAGTCGTCGCAGTAAATCAGGATTTATGATGGAGTCTTAATCGATTAAAAACAGTCGCGATCGCTTCGTTATCTTACCGTGCCTTGTCCTTCTCTTTCTTTTAATAAGGACCTTGTCCTATTTAACTCCGAATATTTAGCTTGCTCCTGAGCTATTCTTGTGTTTGTTGTTTGGTTTAGGGTTTGTTGCCCATTTTGTCCATGTTTTCTGGCATTCTTTCGCCATGATCTCTCCAACCATGTTTATGTTTTCTAACCCATCTCACCACTGAATTTCTAGTTCTTCTCTAAAATCCTGAATTCGCATTCGATATAAGAAGTTCACTTCACCTCACCTCAATTGTTCTTAACGTTTTCATTTCATTCGTCCTCATTATTCTTTTGTTTCCTTTATATACCCGAGAATACTTTGTAGATTCTGGACTTACTTCGTATAGCCATCATATTGTTTTTCCACCTTGTTTCTTTCAAATATCTTCCGACCCTTGACGCTTTTATCACAAGAGTTTGTCTTCCCTCTCACCTTGAACTCCAAGGTAATAAACTTCGCATCAAAATTAACGCACTAAAATTTGGATCAACTTCGAAGTGGAGAACTGCTGACTTAATATGGGTATAGTAGCTTAAATTTTCAAAACGTTTACATATAAATTTAAGTTTTAGGCATATAGATAGCGTTTAAGGAAAAACCAGTTTTATATTCAATGTTTTGGTTAGAGGAGGAAGACCATGCTTGGAGTAGATCACTCCATCTAACTGCATCTTGACTTGCAAAAGACATATGACACAGTAGCATTAAATAATTTATAGCCAGCAGTGGAACAAAACCGCGTAAGCCAGAGATACATAACTATTGTGAAGAAAGTTTATTGTCGTTACAGTGGTCAAATCAAAATGGGAAAGAAATTATTCGATGAATTCTTAGTCCGCAAAGATCTATCTCATCTATTTTTCAAATTTATGTGGGCGAAGTATTAAAAGGAGTGTATAGATTACAATCTACAGATGACTAAGTCACAATTGCAGCAGATAGTGCTAAGCAGACTTTAGTTGCGGAAGCTAGAAGAAGAGTACAACAAGCGGGGTCTTGTACTCAACGTAAAATATATGGTAGCAGAGGACGACCTTAAAGAAGATTTGGAAGTCGATGCAGAGTTAAAAACTGCTCTTCAATTACTTAGGAGCGTTCCGAAGATATGCCCGCAGCACAAAAGACATTTTGAAGAAAATTTAAATCCAATCTTATGGAACGAGAAAGTTATAAGAAAAACCACAAAAACCCTATATGAAATCGTCCTAAAGAGTATATGTAGATATGGATGGATGGGACATAGATATAGAAACAGACTACTTGCTGGAACCCATCAAATAGATTTCTGGAGTAGGAGCGGGAACAGATGAATGTGGAGGGAACAATCTTAGACATTATTGAAACAAAAAATCAATATGGTATGATCAAAGTAATCTGGAACTCGACACGTCTGCATTTTATTTCTATATTCAAGTCCTTATCTCGGTTATTAAATTAAATTGGAATGGCAGACCAGGCATTAACCTAATAGAACATTTATTTATTCATCCCCACCTCACTAATATCGAGCGAGCACCTATTGACGTCTGGCTCAAATTATGGGTTGTCAAAGTCACTCGGTTGTCATTGGTAAACATGTATCACCTCAAGATGATAGAGGGAGAACCTCTTGAACGAGTTGATAAGCTGACGTATCTAATGAAATTGAAATTAAAATAGAAAAAATACGGCATTAGTAAAAATGGAACAAAGTTCTCTATAGCCATAATTTCACACGGACACTGCGAATGAACATAGATGTTACGCGAATAGTGTTTTCCTGTATGGAATGGAATCATAGACACTGACGCGCTGATCGAAATGTGGATGTACTGAAAATCACCTGGGTGCATAGTTCATAAGTGCTAGAGCCAACAAACAAACAACAGGCTATAATTCTAACCATCAAGTGGGGATCCAACGCTTCTGCCGCATCCTGAATTTCAATCTTACTCCTCAATAGCTCTCCCCTCATATCCCATCTAACCGCGTAGTTTTAGGTCTCTCTCTCTCCTTGTGTTTTGGGGACAATACTCCACTGCTCTTTTTGACTACCTCTCCTTTGCCATCTTTTTAAGGGTCGATACTGTCAATGTGGTCGATGATACACTAGAATACTTTGGTCATAACATGCGCCATCCTGAGAAATATGCCATTCAAAAGCAAGAGAGGTTCTGGAAGGAAAAGAACGCCATGGTTAAATAATCTGAGATGGTGGTATGGAAAGTCTTTGGTTGAACGGTTTCGTGCAGCTGTTGTCAATATGGGGGCCAGCCCGATACCCAACGATCGATACACCGTCGCTGCAATTAGCCTACATTTTAGTGGTTTTGTGAAAACGTGCAAGAATCCATCTTAGCGAGTAAACAAAAAATTGCTGATATGCCACATCTCTGCGCTGATTGCGTTTGCATAAACAGAATAATCCCCTTTTTTTGCTGTCCGATCCATTAAAGCGGGAACAAACACACGTCAGCCGTTTTTACAGTAATCACACGGGAAAGGTAGAAACGATAATTGGAACGTATGGGGAGTTCTGGACCAGGAACGAGGTCTCCGCCAGGGGAAAAATTCCCTTCTCGGTATGAACTCCCGTGGCCGCACTAAAGCAATTAAAGCAAAGGCGGTTCCTCCTGGGGGGTTGGTGGGAGGCGCTTTGGTTTTAATTGTTTCCCTCTCTCGACCCCGTTTCTTTTTCGGCCGAGCTGGATTTAACGGGGACGTTTTTTTGTTGTTTCCGTCTGATTCTGTTTTAAGGCATGTCGAATCTTGTTTCAAGAATGAGGACCAGTTGGCCCTTGGCTTAGTTCTCGAATGCGAAGTAATTTGAGTAACGAAAAACCAGTAATTACGGCTAGCTGATTGTTGTTGCTGAAATTGCAAGGAAATCGGTAAAAACTAAGTTATAAGTATCCCACACTTCATATAGTTCGATAGAATGAATTATCATTCGTGCTTTTAAAGTGAGCGAATTCGAACTCTTGAGATGAATATTTTGTTTTTATTATAAAATATGCAGTTCTTAATGCCTTTCGCAAGTTTTAAAATTATTTGTCTGTAGATCAGGCTACGTGTATGTCCACGTTATTAACGCAGGAAAATAAGCTCTTTCACCAATAAATATAGAATCCCTGATTCGCCCATTCTACTGTTTTTTTTTCTTACTGTATTGTACACCGTGTACCAAACAAAACGATCCACTATACGATCTGTTTTGTACAAAAGTTTCTTGGACTCTCCTGAAGATTTAAAATATTATAATTTTGTTGATACAGGGTGTCATAAAAGTGGCCCCCCAACATTAACTTTGTTATTTTAAATGAAACCCTATATATTTCGACATTTTTTGAATCCTTGGTTAAAATAATGGCCAATTTCTTAAGAAATTCCCATTCGAATTTTGCATAGTTTATAAATTTAGAAATTGATATTAAGTGATCCAGGTATTGCAAAGACAATTTAACCACAGACTAAAGAGATGATGCACTACTCAATCAGTTTGACAGATGCGCCTCAGCTTATACAGAGTGTCCCAAATACGTGGTGCCGTTTTGGGGAATTCAATTAAGAAAATCTCAAGATTTTCAAATGGAACACTCTATATTTTTATTCAGATATCAATTCTAGGAAAATAATAAAAAATAAAGTAATTTATCTAATATTTTAATTTTACTTACTTTTTGACACACCTGTATAAATTCTTGTTGAATTTAAAGTTGCCCACATTAGGTCACTTGTTGGC